AACTCCTGACCTATTGGAGAAGTTGAGTGAAATAAATGTGATAAGGAGCCTTGTGGCCATTAGTAATAATAGTAAGGGCCACATTCTAACCAGTCTCCAGGGCCACGCTCCATGCTAAGTGCATTAATGTCATCTCCTTCAACCACTGGCCCATGTTCCAGGAAGGCAGGTCTATCTTGTTTCCTGCCATATTGCCAATGCCAAGTCCAGTGTCCTCCTGCATGATGGTGTTGATGAATGCTCATGAGGGTGCCGCAGTCTGGCTGGGCACAAAATAACCGAGCCACTTGTGGGTTCAAAATAGGAACTCCTTTATTATCCGAACTCCCGCAAATGCCACCCACAGGGCCCTTCCAGGAACACCACACACTGAAAATCCCTCCTCCAGCACTTCCCCAACCAATGCGAACTCTCCAGGAATCCCCAGAAGAACTCCAAAGTAGCGTGAGACTCTCCAAAGTAGCAGGCTGAGGTGGACAGCAGGGGTCTAACATACAATTGAATACACAGCTTAACATAACCATCATTATCTCAATGGCTCACTGGCTCACCTCTCTACCACTCCCTTCTGGCACAAATGCCAGTCATTCCGACTTGGCTGTGGCTCTCAGCAGAGGGTTTTATTTTTTCATTATGGACCCTCATGGAGTAGCCTGATTGACTGCTTTCAGCACTGTGCATTTTTAATCTTAGTGCAGTTCTAAGGGGTAGGTACTTCCATTATTCTCACTTGATAGGTGAGGAAATTGAGGCACAGAAAAGTTGGATAGCTTTCCCAAAGTTACCAAGCAAGCGACAGCAGTAGTCTGAACCCACTGTGGATTATAGATCATGTCCTGTGCTAAATCAGGAGGTCAGGAGATGTTCACAAGTCCAGTGCAGGCTATTTTTTAGGTAAGAAATCAAAAGTGGCAGGTGCGATGGCTCATGACCATAATTCTAGCAACTCAGGAGGCTGAAGTAGGAGGACCATATATCCCAGGCCAGCCTGAGTAACTTAGTGAGACTCTGTCTCAAAATTAGAAATAAGAGCTGGGGATATATCTCAGTGGTGGAACACTTGTCTAGCATGCATGAAGCTTAAAGTTCAATCCCCAGTACCATCACAAAAATTAAAATTAAAATTAAAAAATTAAAAGGGCTGGGATGGGGTTGTGGCTCAGCAGTAGAGCGCTTGCCTAGCAAGTGCAAGGCCCTGGGTTCATCCTTAGCACCACATAAAAATAAATAAAATAAACGTATTGTATCCAACTACAACTAAAAAATAAATAAATAATAAAGTAAAATAAAATAGAAAGGGCTGGGGATGTAGCTCAGTACCTCTGGGTTCAATCCCCAGTACTGGGGAAATAAAGAAAAAGAAGAAATTAAAGCTGAGAAAGAAGTTTAAATGATCAACCCAAAGCCAACCTGAAATTTGGATCCAATGTGACCAAGCTTAATGCTTCTGAAAGGCTGTGATTTACTTCACCCCACCCCTAGCCCAAGCTTTGGGGCACACAGTTTCCTGTAGGGCTCCCCCATGCTTCATAAGTGACTTGAGTCTGGCAACTGTGGAGAAAGAACAATGACATCCCCAAGCTCAGAGACAGGAGGCTCCACAGGAGGCTGTCAGGACTCTAGTTCCCAGGGTAGGGCTGGCTGCAGGCTGAGCCTGGGCCCTCTCTCTATCTGCAGCCTCTGACAAGGGTGCCTCTCAGAGAGCCTGGGGCTATTGAAAAACCAGCCTCTACCTCAGAGCAAAGCCTGTCCAAGGAAGGGACATCACCTTTGTCCTTGGAAAGACCCACAGAGCACCCCTAGACACATTCCCATCCTGCTAAGTGATTTATCTACAAATAACAGGAGAGAGCTGCTGCGTCAGGTGTCCCTGATTCAGTCAGGCTAGGTGGGGATCCATAGCAACCCCCTAGCAGCCACCAATCAGCATGAGACAGGGAAATACTTGGGATGCCAGATGACCCTCCCAGTAGTTTATGGTGGTTGATAACGTGTTGGGAAACCATGTAGTTCAGCACGTACACCCCTCTTGGCTTAAACCAATCAGTTCAAATAAATCCCCCTCTTGTAGTAACCAATCACCCCTACTCAACTTGTTCCCGCCAGTGAATGTGCTAATCATGTTTTAGAGTTGTTATTTGATTTTCCCGCGGTGTGTGATGATTTGCTAAGAGATGCTGTGATGTATGTGGGGATCCCTGCCTTCTCCAAAGAATGTATAAAACTGCTGCAAACCCTGGGCTCGGGGCCTCTCAGCGTCACCAGTTGCTGTGTGTGCGCGCGGAGGACCGAGCTAGCTCGCAATAAACACCTCTTTGCTGCTTACATCGATCTTGGGTCTCTGGTGGTCTTTTGGGGGTCCCGAATTCGAGTATAACACTATCCCTTGTGGCAGTCTCTTGTGGCAGAATGGTGACTGACCCCTTGGATTGGGAACTGGCAGCTTCAGACATGGGGATTGGTCAAGAGATTTTTCATCCTCATATCCTGGCAAGAGCCAACATCATCACTCACACACTAGTTTTCCATCACTCACGTTTTGCCCATCCGCTGGCATCTGGTTCATCACGGCTGTCTTGTTATAAGTCAGGGACATGACAGATGCCATTAACATAACATCCCCATCCATCCTCCCAGGGTAGGGTGGTATGGAGAGAGGCTGAGAGAGAAAGATGAAGTCAAAAGGTAGCAGCTTCTGACATCAGATGGTTGTGGATGTCTGACCTCTGCTGCTTATTTGCTAGGTAACCTCTCAGGAAACTTAAGTTTCTTTAGCTGTAAAATGGGGCCAGAAATGCCTCTGTGGCAGGCAAGGACACCATTCTGCATAGCTCCAGAGGTACCATTTACATTGTCTATGGGAGTGGTGCCACTTGGTACCCAACTTCATAGAATACAAGGTGAAGGTGCCTCAAGACTGCATATCCCACATCTGTACCTTGCAAGTGAGAATTGCTAAGTCAGTTTTCAGATGCCAAGGTGCTGTTGTGAGGACCAGGGGCTGGGGTCATGGAGGTGCACTGGCGGGCATGGCATTATTATGGGTTAATGGAGTGAAAGGCTCCCCTCTTCTACGTGGCTCCTGCACTGTAAGCCCCTGACGAATTCCAGCTCTCATTCACTAGAGGGGATGCAGACCCACCTCACCACAGCTCTTTAGCAAGTTCTCCGTTAACTTCCTGTAGGGTTTCTTCTAACCTCTCAGTCTGTCCCCATGATGGCCACAGAGGATATCAGACACCCTGGCATTGGGCGGAGGATGGTTACAAGGTTTCCCACTATGTAGGGGTTTATAGCTGACTGGCCAAAAAAAAAAAAAAAAAAAATCCTGAATAGAATCTCTTCTCAGCCTGGGTTTCCAACATCTGCCCAAAGAAAGTGATCTTTTCTTTACCTCCCTTCATATCATGTTTTTCAGTCAAGAAACTTTTATTAAAACCTATAAGGCTGGATATGGTGGCACATACCTATAATCCCAGCAGCTTGGGAGGCTGAGGCAGGAGGATCATGAGTTCAAAGCCAGCCTCAGCAAAAGTGAGGCACTAAACAACTCAGTGAGACCCTGTCTCTAAATAAAATACAAAATAGGGCTGGGGATGTGACTCAGTGATCAAGTGCCCTTGTGTTCAATCCCTGGAACATACCCCCCCCCAAAGGAAAAAAAAAAAACCTACTATATGCAAGGAACAGTGGAGAGAGGAGTCCCAAGACAGGCAAGACAATTTCCAGCCTTAAGAAAGTCACAGCAGAGATAGAGGTGGCCCATGTGGGACCTCAGGGATACACTGCAGCTTGTGCAGTGTGTGTGATGGGCGCATTCACCTTCACTAATGGCACTTGGACCGTGCTCTCCTCTGAGCCCTCAAGCAAGAGCGCCATGGAAGCCAGTAGCTACACTGCCATATTTAGAATTCAGGCGTTCCTCCTCTCCATCGGAGGGTCCCATCCAGTTGGTCCCATCCTGTCGAAAGCAGTTTCCTGCAGCCTCCCTCTGCTTTTAGCTGGCACCACTGGCTGCCCTTCCGGTGCAGGAGGTGATCACAGGGTCTCCATCAACTGGGGAAGGCAGCTCCCCTTCTAATTGCCTCTCACCCCTCCCTTCTCCCTCTCCCTTCACATCAACAGTCCCAGCCTCTTCATTCTGTTTGCTCAATGAACTCTGAAGTATAGCAGGCCCTTTGCCTTGTCTGTCTGTTACTGCAGAACCCTTAGGTCCTCTAGCTCAGAGCTGGTAGATGCTCTGTACATATTAGTTGAATGACTAGGTGGCAGAATAAACGAAGACCACTCTTCATGCTTACTCTAGGAAGATGTTCAGAAGTCCATGGTCCTTCAAAGAAGTCTTCACAGCTTCTGTTTCCCACCAGAGAGCCCTCGTCCTAACCCCTTTATTATGCATTCCTTCATTGGGTCTGTATTTATTGAACAGCTCTCCTGAACTAGGCATTATAACCTGTGCTAAGGAGACAAGCCTTGACAAGTCCTCCAACAGTTTCCTTCTCCACATCTTGGCCCCTTCTTTTATCCCCATTGCCACCACACTGTCCAGAGCCCTCACCCTTCCCTTGTCCCCCTTTACACAGGCGTCTTCAAATTGGGCCCGTTTAAGGCTGCTGTTCGTCCTAAGAGTTAAGGGAGGGAGGAGGTCTCCCAGTTTCTAGTTTATGCCTTTAGCCCATCCTCCCACCCGACCTCAGGTACCTGTCCCCAGGGACAGGTCCTAGCCAGGATGTGCTCAGAACCCTTACCCACTCTGCCTCCCGGAAGAATCCCGGATTCTTGTTTTACCTCGGCCCCTGGGGTCCCTGCCCAAGGGCATTCTGCAGAGCCCACCAGCACTCAGACCCGCAGCGCCCTGGCCCCTCCGCGCTGCCTGCGGCGGGAGCTGCCAGCTTTTTGGAATTCCTAATCGCTCCTGGCCCCGGTGATTGGCTGTTCAGCTCTGACCCCACTTGGGCTGCCGCCTGGTTGGATAAAAGGGGAATCTCCTTGGGGCTCCAGAGCATTAGACACCGGAGGGGGCACCTGGGACCAACTTTGCCAAGCAGGGAGCCCGGTGGGGGGGTGGGGGGAGCAAAAGACCTGCAGCCTCAGCCCCTCCAAAGAACCGGGAGATGACGGGGAAAACGGGGGAAGCGCTGAGCAAGCCCAAATCTGAGACAGTAGCCAAGAGTACCTCGGGGGGCGCCCCGGCCAGGTGCACAGGGTTCGGCATCCAGGAGATCCTGGGCTTGAACAAGGAGCCCCCGAGCTCCCACCCGCGAGCTGCCCTCGACGGCCTGGCCCCTGGGCACTTGCTGGCTGCACGCTCCGTGCTCAGCCCTGCAGGAGTGGGCAGCATGGGGCTGCTGGGGCCCGGAGGGCTTCCCGGCTTCTACGCGCAGCCCACCTTCCTGGAAGTGCTGTCCGACCCTCAGAGCGTCCACTTACAGCCACTGGGCAGAGCGTCGGGGCCGCTGGACAACAGCCAGACGGCCAGCTCGGGTAGGTGCGGGCGAGGCTACGAAGTCGATGGCGGGCGTCAGTCGGGAGCCCCGCGCCCTCGGCTCTCGCCTGCCGGACGAGGCCTCCTCCAGGTGGAAAAGTTCCTGCAGGCCGAGGGGTCGCACGCAGCTCGGGCCTGGAGCCAACCGACCCGGGAGCAGGACCCGGAGGATGCTCTGGCGCCGGCCGGGTTTGGGCCCCAGCATTTCCAACTGCTGTTAGTTCCCGTGACCCTGAGTCAGGCTGGTCTGGGGCGCAGCGCTGGGTTGGGGCCCCAGTGGATACCCGGCTTGGGATGTCAGACCCGTGGAGCAGGGTCTGCGGGAGGCCTGGAGCTTCCCAGCTCTGCTGCTCCGTGGCGGTCCAGGCCTCTGGGAGGATCCGCGCTCCTGGAGCTCGATGTTGTTCCGCGCGCTGGCGGCCCAGGAAGCGGGTGCAGGCTCTGGCCCCAGCCCTGGTGTCCAAAGTTGCAATTTTCCTCCTCCTTTCTCCATTCCTCCCTCCCCGCATTGCTCAGCTGGGTTTATTTTTCACCCCACGAACTTGGAGAACCAGGCCACCGAGCCAGCCGAAGTGGCCGCCATCGGATCCTGTGTAAGCGTCACAATTTATCGGATCTCGGCGCTTCGCTGGCCCAGGACCCTAGATGACCTCGCCACGCCCTCCCTCGGCCACTTTCCTAGCCGACCGCTTTGGTCTTCTCGGCCCACCGGCTTTTGTGCCCTCTACGCAATTTCCCCAAATTTTCGTTCCATTTTATTATTCTTTTTTTTTTTTTTTGAAAGGGCAACGAAAAGTGGCTCGTTGCAGGCTCTCCGATTTCGAGTCGGGGGCACATTGTGGGGGCATCGCGAAATCTACAGCGACCTGGCAACTCCCAGCCCTTTCCGGGGCTCAGCTCTCGGCGACACGAGTCCGTTCCTCCGGGCCAACTTTCTGACTCGGGACGCCAGGGCTGCAGGCGCAGGGAAGAGAGCAGACCCGAGGGTCCCTGCGACCCCGTGAGGCTGCCGGTTCTCCGACCGTCCCTCCCCCCAAGACTCCGGGACCTTTGCCTCTCTTGCAACGAAATCTGTTCAGATTCTCCAGATTGAGGCGCCGACATTGGTGGGGCCATCTTGGGCTTAGGGATGGGGACAGCCACTGGAGTCCCTGAGGGCTTCCAGGGAGACCGCAGGCCCGCACGGCTCGCGCAGGCGGCCGGGGGTGGGGCCCTCGCCGGTTTCGGGTGCCGCAGAGCGCTCTCCCCATTCTGCTGCGTGTCCCTCCACCCGCTTTACAGATTCTGAAGATGTTTCCTCCAGTGACCGAAAAATGTCCAAATCGGCTCTAAACCAAACTAAGAAACGGAAGAAGCGGCGACACAGGTAAGACCCCCGCGGCGCTTTCGGTTACTGCTCCTGTCCATCCGCTCCCCTGCGGTCCCCTGCTCCGGTCTCGGGTCTTATTTTCGCGGACCCCAGAGCTGAAGCCCGGGGCCGTACTAGGGCGGAGAGACCCGGCGTCGTTTGTGGGAATCTGTCTGGGCTTGGCGTCTAGCCGCACCAGGTGAGGATGCTGAGAGGCCGCCAGAGCAGCCTGCGCAGCTCCGCCGCGGGGCTGCTTCCCCAAAGGGTCGGGCTTTCGCCTCCCTCCGCAGGAGAAAGGAAAGGCCCCAACCTGGGCCAAACCCGAGCTGGAGAGGGGTCGGCGGTCCCCACTTCCTGGCAGCAGCACATTTTGAGAGCCACGCAGACCTGGCGGCGGGCAGATTGGGCCCCCATCTCCCACTGGAGCCCACCTTTTTACCTTTTTTCGCTGCCCCCGACCCCCATTCTTCTCTGCCAACTCCCCAGTTTTCTGCTCCCACCGTTCCCCAAAGCTCGAGCGATATCTGCGCTTATGGAACGTATTCTTTTGGCTTCTGTTATTTTATGCTTCTGAGAGTTGCTACCTTTATGTGAGCCTCAGTTTCCTAGTCTGTAAAATAGGGGGGTCCCAACAGAACCACTGGAGTGGGGTGGACTGCATTGGAGTGCAGACCAGGGAGAGAGTTAAGTGTCTTTAAATAGACATTACTTGCACGAAGTTAAAATTTAATAGGTGCCAAAGGGTATGTCCTAAAAAGCAATCACCCTTTTCCTGCCCCACGCCCCCAGAAACCTGTTTCCCTTTGGCATCAGCACCACTGCTACTCACTCCTTGTGTAAGTTCATGGGAAGATTTTTTTTTTTAAGAAAATAAAGGGGCGAGAAGCAAAAATCTGTCCATCTTTCTGCGAGTGCTGTCCCTGCGCTCCCTCCCCAGCGGGGCTGTTTTCCCAACTCTTTCTTTGCCCCAGTCCAGGTGGGTCGCTAATGGGATCCCACTGGACATTTCCCCATTGGGGAGCTCCCTGGATCCCTGCCTCGCCTCATCTTCTCCTCTCTCCCCAATTTGTTCCCAAGCCTCTTTGTAGGCTCTTTCTCTGCCCCTCCCTCTTCCTTCGCCCTTGGAAGTTCCACTATTGACCCCCATTTTTGAAAACGGCCCTTCCTGACCTCTCAGGCCCCAATAGGTTCCTGCTTGAAAGAAGGTGAACTTCGACTTGGTTTCTCTTTGATGGATTCATTTCCTTTGGACAGTTATTTGCTTTCCTTGCTTATTTTAAATGGAAACGTTTTTTATTAGTCCTGTTCCTCATACTTTTAAAATTCAACGAATATTCGTTTTTTATTAGTCCTGTTCCTCATACTTTTAAAATTCAACGAATATTCATAAAACACCGCTGATGCACCTTCTCTTGCTGGTCCCAGGGTGTGTAATCCTGTCAGCCTTCCCAAACCAGGACAAGGATGTGGAGGTAGCTTGCTGCTACTGTGCTGACTGTGGAATATGGGGTAGGGGTTTCCCTAGATATTTCAAATTATCCCTCAAATTCTGGTACTGGAATGGTATAAGGGCTTAAGGTTCCTGACCCTTCGACCCTCTCCCCAAAGACCTTTGGGGGCTTGGGTGAATTCCCAGAGGGGCAGAACAGCAACTCACCAACATCAGAGAATTAACTATCTTGGGTTTCTATTTCTGGTGCATGAAGGCAGCAAATTATTGGAGAGGAGAATGGCTACTGATGGCTGGCACAGTATTTATTTATTTATTTATTGTCGGGATTAAATCCAAGACTTTGCACAAAGCTAGGCAAGCCCTCTGCCGCAGAACTAAGCCCCCTACTCCTTGGTGCAGTTTTTAGTTAGGGGAAAACCAAACAACAACAAAAAAAACATTTTCCTGAGTTTTTCTCATTAGGGAATTTGGGGGAAGAGCCCCTGGAATCTGGTGATGAGTGATGGGGTTGTCTTTATCTCCCCAGGAAACAAACCAGGTTTAGCAGGGTTTGTTGGGGGTGGGGGTGGAGCAGCGATGGGGACAGTTTCTGGGATTTTGCTCTTTTTGGAAAGCTCAGTTCCTCTTCAGACTGGATACAACAGGATTGAAGGACCTGGGACTCTAGCTAAACCAGGAGCAAAGTTTGGGTCACATAGTGGGCAAAGGAGGACCTCTATGGGGAATATGACACATGGTCCAGTTCTGGGGCAAGAATAGGGGAAGTTGGGGGGATTTGAAGTTTGTTTTTGTTTTTTCTTAATCGGGTACTCTTCCAAGTAGAGGCAGCCCTCACAATGACCTCTAATCAGCTTTCCTCTGACTTTGGCCAGGTCACACTACCTGTGTAACTCAGTTTTCCTGGTTTTGAAAAGGACTTGCATATATTGATTGTTTATTTTGGCGATCAGTTCCGGAGCCCTTCAGCAAATGGTAGAAGAGAAATAGAAAGCAGCAGATCTTCAAAATTCTTAAGAATGAAACTTTCCATATACATAAGAATTCCACACATCCCCCTCAAGAGAACAGATGGAACGATTTAGAGTCAAACCAGTCATTTTCTGTCTTCCTCTCACACCCCCTGCATCATCCCTGAGATATTAAAGTGGACACCAGAACAAGGAATATGTGGGGCTTTCTCGTGTTTTCCTGCATTCGGTGAGCATGAGGGCGCAGCAGTGAGGCATTCTAACCCCTCTGTGCTGGTCCCAGGCTCCAATCCCAGGGGCTCGAGCAAGGGATGTACCGGATTTTACAAATTCAGTTTGTGGAAACTGGACCACATCTCGTCTATTAGCTTGTTGATAAGGGTGCAGGATAAAGGTCACCTAAATCCTAGTGAAATTAAAAGAAGAGTTTGTATCTGGAAATGGGCGTTTAGTGGTTTATTCAAAAAAGGTGGTTTATGAGCCCCCTAATATTGGAGGTGAGATTTTATGTGTTGGGGCATATTCGTTTGCTCATTTTCTTAGTGTGAGAGAATGTAGCTTTAACTAGATCCCTAAAGCAGTTTTTGACACAAAACAGGTCAATGGGAACTGCTCAGTCGGGGGCCAAGGAGGCTTAAATGGGACTTTCAGTCAAGTAGTTGACTCAGTGTGGGGGTTGGTTGGAAAGTGGCACTGGAGGGGACTGAGGAAAGTCCCCTGAGGGCAACTCTAGGCAGTTGGTAGGTCTGGTGTTGGGAGAGAAAGGGCAGGTGAGCAGGAAGGAGTGTTGGGGTCAGCTAAGCAGGTGGGGGTTCAGGTCTTGGCCATGCAAACACTGAGGCTGAAGCTTCATCTGACCTCCAGGGAAACCTCGAACTCTGAGTGGATTTAAAGTCAACTCTAGTGTCTGAGAGGAGCCCAGGAAGCAGGTCGGCATGTAATTATCTGGTGAGGTCTACTTTCTGTGCTTGGGAGTAGGAGGGGCTTTCTGTGGTCTTCAGAATTTCCTCCTTAACATCAGACTGCCTCCAGAGCCATACTCAGGGCTGAAATAGTGCCCACCCCTCACCAGAAGGATGGTGTGGGCTCTCAGCCTTGAATGAAGAGTCCAGATTATTAAGCTATCTGTGTGTGTGTGTGTGTGTGTGTGTGAGAGAGAGAGAGAGAGAGAGAGAGAGAGAGAGAGAGAGAGAGAAACAGAGACAGAAACAGAGACAGAGAGACAGAGACTATGTTGATTGGGTTGTGCCAAGCCAGCCTGGGTTTGGGATCAGTCTCTGAGCCTTGGGAGAGGGGCCATTCTGTTATTCTGTTCTCTTCAAAGTCAGGCTCTTCTGATTGCTGAGGTCCTGAGTGTCCTATCTTGCTCCCCTCAGGACAATCTTTACTTCCTACCAGCTAGAGGAGCTGGAGAAGGCATTCAATGAGGCCCACTACCCAGATGTCTATGCCCGGGAGATGCTGGCCATGAAAACGGAGCTGCCTGAAGACAGGATACAGGTAACATCCCCTAGGGGACATCTGTCTCTGCAGGGTCCCAGATACACATGACCCACCCCCCCTGCATCCCCTGTGAGCATGTATTCAGAAATAATCCTTTAGTTAAGGATTCTGATCACCTACCATGTAAGGTGGGCACTGTGTGAACAAGGGCTGAGCAGATGTGGTTTGGCCTGCTGTTCCAGACATAGGCTCCCTTAGGGGGCGTGGCAATGAGAGGTGGAGTTCTGGGTAGTCCTGAGCAGGGTCTCTGTTGTGGTGGATGTCTGTTTTGAGGCCAGAGGTGGCCCTCAGGCTATTTTGGGTGTCTGTGAAGGGGAAGGTGACTTTTAGTCCTGATTCCAGTCTGTTTCCCTTCCCTCCATTCCCCATCCTATGAGGAAGACATTACCCCACTTCCTACTCCCCACCACCACATCCAGCTGCTGCTATTTCCTCCTCTCAAAACCATTACTTCTCCAAATCTGGCCCCAGATGTGGCCTGGGACATGTGCCTGTGGGTGTGACTCTCCAAGCCCCTCCTCTCCTGTGTAGCTCTATGGCATAACCAGCTACTGGTCTGGAGCAGCATGCCCTCTGCTATGGTGGGCATAGGGCCTTCGCACGTTCAAGAGCCCCCTGGCTGGGCCAAGGTGGGCTGCTGAATTACTTCTCTGGGAGGGGATGCAATACAGTGGCTTCTAGGCAAGGCCTCCATGGCAGGAAGTGACTAGGGCCAGAGGACATTTCCAGTCAGCTGGATTTCAACCTGAAATGAAAGCTCCTCTCCTGGTGTGGTCCAGAGGTGGCTGCTGCTGGGACTTGGGAGTATGACAGGAGTCAGGTCCGGACTTCCTGAAACTGTTTCTGCTCAGCATCTCTCCATACCCTAATTGAGGGCCTGTGTGTCTCCAGGTGTGATGTGTGCTAGGGGCAGAGGTGGGGCAGAGGGCGGACAGAGAAGAAACTGAAGGTTTGGGGGCTGCTTCATACCGTCTCACTCAAGGACCGAAGTATAGGAAATGAAGTCTTGAGTTACTTTTCCAACAGGGCCTTCCTCTCCTTGGAAATCTAGGAGAAATTTCAGCCACGGCTTTAGACATTGACACTAACAATAAGCTCAATTATTCATAAGCTGATTATGTTTGGTACATTATCCAGGGTGGCCTAGAACCATCCCCTCTCACTCAGTTGGGTTCTAGTGGGATGAGCTGAATGTTGATTTTGAACTGTGTGTGCAAGCCAAGGCCCAGGCCATCCAGCTGATATGTGGCAGTAACCCCTGCCTGTCCTCCATTAGCACCAAGTTGGCCATCAGGAGCGGCTGTGGTAGTGGTGGTGGTGGGGTCTGGCAAATTGCCATGGTTGGTAGGCCTCACATTTGTGCTACTGACTGTAAGAAGGAGCATCTTGTCTCTTACATTAAGTTGTCTAAAATCTGCTTGGCTGTGGTGGTGGAGGGTGGGGGAGTTTTAAGTTTGCTGAGCTTGGGATTTGGGGGGAAGGTTGTCCCTAAGTTGTAACTGCATTGCTATAAATGCCCTGGCAGACCTAGTATAGGCTTCAACCAGTTGCCATAAGGCAAGGAAGGCGTCAGAAGTCACCAGAACCACACAGAGGAGCTGAGGGTATGAAGCACTGCCCCAGGACTGAGAGGATTGGCTATGATATTGGTGGATGTGGGAGAAATGAGGCAGAGTGTCTCAAATCCTCTGCACCGTGTGGCTAAGAGTGACCCCTGAATGTGTGTGTGAGTAGTCAAGTGGTCATGCTCCCAGGTGTTTAACCAGATGGCTGAGGAAAGATCTTGGCATGTATCAATAACAATCCCAACCAGAATTTCTAGAGCAGTTTCCATGTACCAGGGGTTCTTCTAAATATGTGGCATGGCAGGAGAGGCAGGGTGGTAGAGTATCTGGGGACACTAACTCCCACTGCCTGGGTTCACAGCTGAACTTCCCCGGCTAGAGCCTCCTAGTCCTCATCTGTCCAATGGGATAAGAGATGCAATGAGCCATATGTGTACAGTGTTCAGAGCAGTGAGTACCAGGTTCCCCCCTGCTCCCTTTGATTCAGCTCTGATCTTATTAAATCCTGTGGCAACTGGTAGCAGAGAGACCACTAGCCTCCATGTATGCATTCATTCGTATATTCATTCATTCCTGCAGTGCTGGGGATGGAATCCAGGGCCTTGCACATACTAGGCAAGCAGTTTACCACTGATCTACACCCCCAGCCTATAGCCTCCTCTTGGAACTAAAGAAACAGAGGCACAGAAACTTGCCCAAGGCAACCTAGCTAGGAAATGGGGGACACAAGATTCAACACCATGTCTTAAGCCCATTCTTTTTCCATCTGCTTTTTGGGTCGAAGCCTGTGCTATGACTTGACACTGGGGGAAAGAGGTGGTTTGAAGTCAGCATGGGGCGGGGGTGCTGCCTCACAATTTCTTTTAGAGGGTGGGTATTGAACCCAGAACCTCACACATACTAACTGTATCATAACTTTAAAAACTATTTATTAGCAGAGCAGGGTGGTGAATACCTACAATCCTAGCTGAGGCAGGAGGCTCACAAGTTCTAACCCAGTCTTGGCAACTTAGTGAGACCCTGTCTCACTAAATTAAAAAAAAAAATTAAGATCTGGGGATGTAACTCAGTGGTAGAACACCTCTGAGTTCAGTCCCTAGTACTACATACACCCACACCCACACCCTCCATATATACACAAATTATTGAGTACCAATACATAAATAATAACAATAACCTCACTTATGAAAAAGAAATTTTTTTTTTTTTTGTGGTGCTGGGGATTGAACCCAGGGCCTTGTGCATGCAAGGCAAGCACTCTACCAACTGAGCTATATCCCCAGCCCACAAAATTATTTTTGAATGGGCAAATTCATGTACATGAGTTCAAAGGGTAAAAAATTAGTTTTCCTTCCCACTCCCAGGTATCAGGCCTCCAGTGGTAACCAATGCCTTTTGTTTCCTTCTAGAGATAGTTATGTTTATTCAGCTAAGAGTCCTAGACACCCTGTGAGCTAGAGACTAGAATTCCCATTTTACAAAAAAGGAACTGAAGGACAGAGATCAGAATTCAGATCGAGTCTTTTAGACTCTGGGACACTTACTCCACTATTTTGTCCCGGTTCCTCAGCATGTCTCTCTGCGTGCTGATTAGGTGGGGTCAATGCATCTGAAGATGAACAGCTACCAGTCAAGAGCCCGTCCCCTCCCTTGCCCCAGCCTTGGGTGAGATAACTGTGTGTGTGTGTGTGTGTAGGTGTGTGTGTGTGTGTGTGTGTGTGTGTGTGTGTTAGGGATGGAGGAAGAGAAAAGGGGAATCACTAGAGGCTCCAAGTATGGAGTTAGAAATTCTCCAGGTGGGAGCCAGGCATGGTGGCCCACTGTAAGCCCTGTGGCTCAAGAGGCTGAAGCAGGAAGATCGTGAGTTAGAAGTCATTGTCAGCAACTTAGTGAGGCCCCAAGCAACTTGGTGAAACCCTGTCTCTAAATAAAATACAAAAAAAGGGCTGGGGGTGTGGTTCAGTGGTTGAGGGCCCCTGAGTTCAATCCCTGGTACCAACTATCCCACCCCCCGTAAAAACAAACAAACAAACAAATAAAAAAACAGTTCTTACCTCAGACTCTGACACCCATAGAAGCCAGGCCATTTGCACCCCTGGGCCTCAGGTTCCTCATCTGTGAAATAAAGAGGCAGGATTCCTTCCAGAAAGCAATTTTGTCAGGATCACCTCCCTCACCAGGCTTGGGCTGCCATAGGTGGAGTGGGGTGCAGACCAGGTGGAGTTTAACAGTTTTAGGTGGATAGCTGGGGCTCACACCCTGCGGGACCAACCTAAGGAGACCCCTGGACTCATTGGAGGCCTACCGAGGACCCCCAGTAGTCATACAGGCCTACTTCCCATCTTTGTTTCACTGCTGGCAAGCCAGACTCTGAGCCTCAGATTATTTATTTGTGAATTAATAATAGTAACATTTTTCTGAACTGCTAACTTCATAAAAGCATTGTGATTTCTGGAATTTATTAAGTACTTACCACTGTCCCAGATGTTAAGTACCTCCTGTGCCTTGTGTGATTTCATCTCACAACACCAGGTGAGCCAGGTGTTCTTCTCCTGTCCATTTTCAGGATGAGGACTCTGAAAGGTAAAATCAGCAGTAGACCAGGATTCAGACTCAGTACACAACTGTGATCAATGAGATCCCATGAGCAGTATCTGTACAAACTATAATAATAATCAATGTGAATGGCCCTGATAGGAGGGCCAGGTCTCTCTAGAGCTCTCTGGGTTTGGGCTGGAGAGCTATGGTGAGCTGTTGGGGAAAGAAAAGATGCCAAGTCCCCACGAGAGACTCAGGCACACAGTCCTCTGTAGGTATAAATGTTGGGATAAGGCACTCCTGAAGTCTCTGCCCAGACAACACTCCTGGCATCCCCACAAGACAACATGCCCAGGGCTCTTCCCTCCAGGGTCTCCCAGGAGACCGTCTGCAGTCCTTCAAGGATAGCGCCCCTACAGGAGACATCGTGCATAACAGATGCCGTTTACACATTCTGGTCACCTCAGTACCTGCCAGGTGTCAGCTGTAGGGATGGCAAAAGGGCTTGCAGACTAATTTTATTTCCTCTGTGGGGTCACTTGTTGCCAGAATCTTAAGACTTGGGTATATATATGCATTCTTTTATTTGTTTACTGTGTTTTTATTATTGTTATAAAGTTATAAAAATTCAAACATTGCAGAGCTATGGATGTTCAAAGAGAACAGGGTCCATGTCTCCTCCAGTCTAAGCAGCTTCGTGGATAGGGAATGGTAAGGTTTCGGTGCTCTGACCTGCACGTTCAACTTTGCTTCTTTTATAGTGGTCCCTACCATGCAGTCTGCCAGTCTGTGGCTCAGTGGTTGAGTGCCCCTGGGTAGAGATCAAGGTGTCAAAAGTTATATTCTAGGAATGAAAAGATAATTGTCTGCATGGGAAAGGGCTGGTGACATCTC